TAAGACCTGTACGCTGTATTCCCGAGTGTGGCTCGGGGTTACCGCTTTGTTAACCCCGATCCACACTCGGGGAATACCAATGGAAACGCGCAGCAAAACGCCCCAAAGAAGCTCCTGTACTTTTTTGGGCGTAGGGCGTTTTGCAGCGCGTTCCTACACGCTGTAAAACACCCAGTGGGAAGAATGCCCATAGGCAATCTGAGCGGTATACTGAGCCTGCCGCAGCCGGGGCGGATCCCGACAATGCTGCCGAGATCCACCCAGCTGCGTGACAGCTGGCTCTGCCTATCCAGAGGCAGAGCCAGCTGTGCCCGCCCGCTCCCCGTCCAGTTCCTCCAGTCAGCGCTGGAGGATCGGGGAGGGGGGGGGAATCCCTGCAGGGAGCCGTGAGTGACAGTCATGGCTCTCTGCAGGGAGGCGGCGGTAGCAGTTTGCTCACTTCCCGATCTCTTGAGCCGACGTGTGACAGTTTCAATGTGACACGTCGGCTCGAACTATGAGGATGAGTGATTTTCACTCACCTCATAGTTCTCCTTTAATAGAGGGAGCGGGGGGACCTCTATTGTCTGCCACATACAATGCTGTTTTAACACCTCTCTGGAAAACCCACGTCTTGCATTTCAGGAGGCTTTTACGGCAATTGCATCGCGGCGGGGGTTCGGCTTTCTGTTTTTTGGTTCACAGATGACATCACAGCAGACTAGTGGCACAGGACTGGCTATGCTGTAGCAAATCCCTACAGAAAACCGCTGGATCCCTGGGTGTGTGAGCATGTTTTTTGCATATAATATTAATTTTGTCTTTTTTTGTTTTTTTATTGCAGCATATACTGCAGTCTGGAGTTGTGTCAGAGCAGCTAGCAGAAGCTCACAAGGAAGTAACAAGTCTCAAACAGCACCTTTAAAAAAACCAAAAACTCCCCAGGGGCGGTTTGATGAAACTGAACAATCCAACAAGGAGAAGGAACCGTTGGAAAGTGAGTGAATGGACGTCAATTAAATAAAAAACAAACAAACTCTACTGCCAAATTCAATATATTATGCAGCACAGTAAACCTTGAAGTTTTTAAAAATGTGTTCTATGAATGTGTGGGAATAAATAGAGGACCTTTCATTGTTGACTTATCATCCTGATGCATTTGGACCTTTGGAATAGCATGCAGCCAGTTAGGCCTAAAATGTCTGTTTCCCCATCCTGTGCTTGTTTTAGGATGAGAGCCCTGGAACATGCACATTTAAAAGCAAACCAGCAGGGGCAGCTCCCATGTCTGCCTTTTAAATTGCAGGGGTGTGGAATTCGTATCGCCCGATGCCCGGGACATGTAGTTCCGGGCGCTGGGCAAGTGTTTTTTTCACTGTTTTAGCCCTGCTACGGATAAGTAGCAGGGCTGGTTTTATTTTTTTTAAATGAGAGTAAATGAAAACCAGCCCCGCTGCCCCATCTGCATGCGAATAAATACGCAGTGTTTTCAACTGCAATCGTGTGCAACCGCACGGGCAGGGCGGTATTGCAGCAGGAAAACACCGCAATCTGCCTGGCACGACTGGGGTGCAATTAGAAAATAATGGAACTGCCAGCGAGGTCAGCGGTGGTGTGCGATCCGTGACTGCGCAGTGATCATGCACGAAACCGAGCGGTTGGCTGGGTTGTCATGGAATCGCACACCACCGCCGATCGTACTGTCAGTGCCGTTATTTTCTAATGGCACCCCAGTCGTGCCAGGCAGATTGTGCGTTTTCCTGCTGCAATACCACCCGGGCGATCCCACATGATCACGGTTGAAAACACTGCGCGGTGCATGTCATGAAAATAGGTACATCTACCTTTTTTTTTTTTTCCAGCGATGTCCACGCAGATGTAACCCCATACATGCGGATGCAACCGCACACGATCGCACGTCCCGGGAATCCCCAAGTCTGCACCAACCCTAAAGGGTATATTCACTTTCCCAAGTAATTTGGGAAAATGGAAATACCCGCACAAATCTCCCTCCCACTATACTTACCTTTGGGCGATCGGTCCTTCCCGCCCACCAGTACGCGTGTGCTATCTGTACCTGTTCCATGTATTCTGAATTTCGCTCGCAAATTGCAAGCACTCGTTGGTCAACGCGGTCACCTGACGGCACTGACCAATGAGAAGCGCTTCTTAGCACTGCTAAATACGGTTTTGGTTAAAATATATTTTTTTTGTATCAGGACAAGTAGATTGCCATGAGGGACAAGTAGATTCGGCCCACGCTTTAGTCCTTGGACAAGTAGTTTTTTCAAAAATTTCCACACCCCTGAATTGTAATAGATACAATCTCATAGGAGGTGGCATGGTGTCTCATTGAACTTGGTTTCTCAAGTTCTGACATGTGGTCACACTTACCAGTTTTTATGCCTCTAATGAGTTGTATCCATCCTTTCATCCTATACTATTTGTACTTCTAGCATAAATGCAAACCACCTAGAGGTGCACCGAAATGGAATTTTCAGACCAAAACCGAAAACAAAAAATTTATTAATTTTTTTAGCCTTTTTAAAAAATCATTTTGTAAATATTTGACATTTATTTATTTTTTACTTTACTGTCGGGGGGCTCAGGGGAAATATTAGGGATCTAAACAGACCCCTGATATTTCCCTTTTGAAATAGACAGAGATTGAGGACACCGAGTCCTCAATCCCTTTTTCTGCAGCCCACGTTATGAATGAACAGGAATCCTCTATACCGAGTGCTCATGTGCATGTTGTAAAGTAGACATCACTCCAAGCTCACTCCCGTGATGGACTGTAATCTTGGTGGTGAGGCGAGGAGAGCTCGGTCTCCTATGACACTGCTGACAGGGGAGTCCTCCCCTTCACCTCCGCCTCCTGTGATGGTTCACAGCTGTCTCCTCCCCCGCACCGGTCTCCTTCCTCTTTTGTTGTCTCGGGAAGCTGAGAGGGGTGGTTCAGGAGGAGAGCCCGGCCTCCTGTGACCAGAACACTGACAGCACTCTCCTCCCTGCCCGGCCTCCTGAAAGTTTCTTTCCTCCCCGCTGGATGCTGCTGTGTGTTAGAGGGGACATAGAGCAGCACCCGGCAAGGAGGAGAGAAACTATGGATGCACCGCAATTTCAGGCAAAAAATGGTACTTTCATCATTTTGCCCAAATTACCTTTTGCAGCTGAAATTTGGGTTCATCCCTAAAACCACCCATTGCATGATACCCAGTTAACTGATGACTAACATTTTGACGGGTATAACAATAGAAATTGTGTGTACACCCACACACAGAGAAGCATCTAAAGGAAAACAACCAGTAAATCTGGTGACATCCGGGCAGTAACCCTGGAAAACATGAGGTTAACAGCTGGGCATATAGGCAGGGGAGGGAGCTTTTCTCATCCCACCCTCAGCTGAGAGTGAGGTAAGGAGGAAGGCCAGTAACCCTGGGAAATGTGAGGTTAACAGCTTGGCATATAGGCAGGGGAGGGAGCTTCTCTCATCCCACCCTCAGCTGAGAGTGAGGTGAGGAGGAAGGCCAGTAACCCTGGAAAATGTGAGGTTAATAGCTGGGCATATAGGCAGGGAAGGGAGCTTCTCTCATCCCACCCTCAGCTGAGAGTGAGGTGAGGAGGAAGGCCAGTAACCCTGGAAAACGTGAGGTTAACAGCTGGGCATATAGGCAGGGGAGGGAGCTTCTCTCATCCCACCCTCAGCTGAGAGTGAGGTGAGGAGGAAGGCCAGTAACCCTGGAAAACGTGAGGTTAACAGCTGGGCATATAGGCAGGGAAGGGAGCTTCTCTCACCCCACCCTCAGCTGAGAGTGAGGTGAGGAGGAAGGCCAGTAACCCTGGAAAACGTGAGGTTAACAGCTGGGCATATAGGCAGGGAAGGGAGCTTCTCTCACCCCACCCTCAGCTGAGAGTGAGGTGAGGAGGAAGGCCAGTAACCCTGGAAAACGTGAGGTTAACAGCTGGGCATATAGGCAGGGAAGGGAGCTTCTCTCATCCCACCCTCAGCTGAGAGTGAGGTGAGGAGGAAGGCCAGTAACCCTGGAAAACGTGAGGTTAACAGCTGGGCATATAGGCAGGGAAGGGAGCTTCTCTCATCCCACCCTCAGCTGAGAGTGAGGTGAGGAGGAAGGCCAGTAACCCTGGAAAACGTGAGGTTAACAGCTGGGCATATAGGCAGGGAAGGGAGCTTCTCTCATCCCACCCTCAGCTGAGAGTGAGGTGAGGAGGAAGGCCAGTAACCCTGGAAAACGTGAGGTTAACAGCTGGGCATATAGGCAGGGAAGGGAGCTTCTCTCATCCCACCCTCAGCTGAGAGTGAGGTGAGGAGGAAGGCCAGTAACCCTGGAAAACGTGAGGTTAACAGCTGGGCATATAGGCAGGGAAGGGAGCTTCTCTCATCCCACCCTCAGCTGAGAGTGAGGTGAGGAGGAAGGCCAGTAACCCTGGAAAACGTGAGGTTAACAGCTGGGCATATAGGCAGGGAAGGGAGCATCCCTTGTCTGTACACAGGCTCTGCAAGGGAGTGTGTGAGACAGGCATGTGAGCTGACTGCCAGGTTACTGGCCAGTTTCTCTTTGCTTCCAAACTGTCCCACTTCTTGCCTATTTTACAGGTGTCATAGGGACACAGGCAGCTAAAGGAACCATTGTCCTAATAGACTAAGGAGGATTTAGAGCATTCCAGGATTTATTACTGTCTGTGTCCCAATTAGACAGATTTCCCTTCTCGTCTAGGTGACTGGTGTCAGACTAGAAGAAGAAACTTCTCTATGGGGACACAGAGAGCATTTAAAAAAATGACAGAAAAGTCTCCTTAATAGGGACATAGACGGTGAACAAGGGTTGAAACCTTTTCTTCTTCTAATCAAAACTAAAGAGAAAAAAAGTTTAGCCTTTTTTATATTTTATTTTACACTTCTTCTATTTTCAATACAAGAAAGGCAACTTTTTACTTGGAGGGAACTGGCTTTTATGAAGGCAAATGCAGTTGGATTGTAAAGTGTGGTAGAAATCCGGTCAATGCCTTTGCTATCTATTGGGTTTCTCTGCATTTCCTGCTCATGTACTTTAATGTGAGCATTGTGGGAAAGTGAGGTAACTAGACATTAAATATTCTGCTTCATCTATTTTAATAGCCTTGAGACCAAGGTGAAATCAGGTCATTTTAAGCAGACCTGTTTGGTGCAGTCTCTGATTAGGTTTTCTCTATGGAATGGAAGTGCACATAATAATCATGCACCAGCACTGTCGTGGGAGGGGTGACTGATATGCTCCCCATACCTGGAAGTGTACATAACAATCATGCACCAGCACTGTCACAGGGGAGAAAGTGGGAGGGGTGACTGATATGCTCCCCATACCTGGAAGTGTACATAACAATCATGCACCAGCACTGTCACAGGGGAGAAGGTGGGAGGGGTGACTGATATGCTCCCCATACCTGGAAGTGTACATAACAATCATGCACCAGCACTGTCACAGGGGAGAAGGTGGGAGGGGTGACTGATATGCTCCCCATACCTGGAAGTGTACATAACAATCATGCACCAGCACTGTCACAGGGGAGAAAGTGGGAGGGGTGACTGATATGCTCCCCATACCTGGAAGCACATATAATAATTATGTACCAGCACAGTCACATGGGGGGAAAGGGAGTGATTCATATGCTCCCCATGCCTACAATAGCCCAATAATAATCATGCACCAGCACTGTCACATTAGATGCATGTCATACCAGTGATTATTTGACTGGCAAACACTTGACAGTGACAGAATTGCCAAGCATCTACTCGCCAGTCTTCAATGGTGTCGCCTGATCAGCGAGATGCGCCTCTGTCACTGCTTCCCCATCCGTCAAAATTCTGCTGGGTTTTGGCCAGTGATGGAATTATGTCTGTTTGGATAAAGTGAAAGCTACACTTCAGTGATGCTACTGCTGGTAACATCTCAGCAGCACCAGAATTGCCCACGTGACATGGGCCTCAGTAAATGA